CGTCCTCGTATGCACGATTAGTTCTATGTATTTTTTTGACATATCGATAACTTATCGAAGGATACGCGCTGACTGTGTCTAAACCTGTGTTCTCTCTCCGCGTTGTCGTTGGGGCTTAAGCAAGAGTCGCTCGTGTCATTCGTACGCTTAGACCAAAACACAACACTTTCGACCCAGTGTGAAATTCTGTCCGCACTAACAACAAACCCTCATATGATCTGCACAGACACGATTACGATTCATTCGAAAACGTTTGCTCACCTTCGGACATGTTTTCCAATATTACAATGAGTTTATTCTGGATTAAACTCATTATTTTGGTCTTCTAGATCAGTTAGTAGAACGCATACTGTAAAAAAGCTAGGAGGCGTTCATTAGCGATTGTGAATTCCCACGTTGTGACTGATCTTTTCTCAACTGAAGGTCAGCCCTGTTTTCGAAATGCAGTCATGTCAGTATGTCAATAAACATTCTCTTTAGTTCTGTAGTCAAGATTATGCGATTTCTCAAACAGCTAAGCCAAAACCATATGGTACTTGGAGATAAATCCTCGTCATCTCATTATTACTATTGTGACTGGTACTTTGCTGTAAAAAGATTACACATATTTATCTATCACTGGAATTGTTTAGTAAGGCAAACGAGACCATTCCTTTATCGGTTTTTATGTACACCAACTAAAAGAAGTTTCTAATTACAAAATATTTTTTAGTTCAATCTACCCTGTGCGAATCCGCATCTCTCTCACACGATTGGTGAATCAATCAACCAATCAATGATAGTCCTCGTTCCAGGACACACTAAGGCAACCAATTATCATAATCCAATAATCTTGTTCATCACGTGATGAAGAATGACTACCGACCAATGTACTGACCTGTTAGCTCAGACTGACGTGCTGAAACCAGACCAACTTTTGTGATACGCAAGTAGACAGAAAACGATTTTTGTGGTGGCTGTTCCGGACTGCTCTGAAATCCGTACTGCGGACGGGGCCAACGTGGACGTAGACGAAACTGGACTGGGATTCGACCGTATGGTTCTAACTGGCCATGACATGGGACCATATCGATCAATGAATCGAAACAAGCCTCGGCTGTTGTGGGAACATCGGCCAATTTCTTCCTGGTTACGGACGGATTTGTCTGTAGATGGGTTGAGTGAAATAAAAGGAGGAGAACAGAGAGAGAAGATAGAGGGTTGGCATTGCCCACTATTGTACGAATTATTACTTTACTGTTCCAATTAATATCAAGTTTCTGTTCTGCTTATCCGCATTTTGTGGTCAAAAAAAAGAAAATCAGGAAACCTAAAGAAACATATACAAGCATATACACGCATATACAAGCACCAGTTGTAAGACGGTCCAAGTGACTGCTTCAAATATCTGACTTTTCACTGAATTACGACCAATTGAGCACATTCCATGTCGGTTCAATATCTTTTAGTTTTGGGCCATGAGTCCCAATGGAATTGGGATTTTCCCACAAGCTGCTTGAAACAGCGATATAGTGTTTGTACGACCCTGTACTGGGGTGTTGGTCATGGAATAAGCGAAACAAGAAGCAGAAAACCATTAGGAAAAGGAAATGTCATTTGCCACTTGTGTCTGTTCCTTCTTGGACTAGGGTACTGGTGGTGAGATAATTCTGAGTTCATAAGGTGTTCTTTCCACATTTTCATCGGCATTATTTACTATGATATGTTCCACCTTCCAATCTCATATTTGTTAGAATAGAGAGGAGACAAATACTGCGAGATGTTACCATTTCCTCTAATCTCCTCAATTGCTACAAGAGAAAACAATCTGGTATTTATACAGGAAAGTTTTTACTATCTGACGAATGACGTACATCAGAAGTTCAAGGCGGTGTTTCTGCACAGCTTCAACTGATACCCTAAATCCAGGGAATCAGTCTGGATGATCAAAAAAGGTCGCCAGCCGCCCAATTCCGCTTCATATGTCCTCAATCAGTTCTTCTGCAGTCTCGGTGACACTTAAATCGCAGAAGGAATCGGCCCTTGTCACAACGGATGTCCAAACACATTCCCTATGACGCAACAACATGTCAGAGGTCAAGTTGACAAGAGAACTCCATGATTATCAATTGTAAAACATGTCATGATAACTGGACACATTTTTGACCCACTGATATCGTTCTAGCCGTTGTGATGTAACACAAATCCGATGTTGTTTGCGTCCAGGGAAGCGACGTTAATGAACTTGCGTAGTATGTGTACAAACGGTTCTGACGCGGTCAGTCAAATTATCGTAGGACTGATTCTGGAACTCATTCATCCCTCTCTCCCCTGAAAATTTACAGTTAAACCACCGTAGTTATCAAAACTTTCGTGTATGTGTATACCACCACCACCACCACCACCACCAACAACAACAACAACAACAACACTATTCAATAAAAGGAATGAAAAATGAATGACAAATACTTCATTCAAAATCCAATCGGATTCCATACAATCTGACTCACCTGGTCGCATAGAACAGAGACAAAATCGGTTTCTTTTGGTGACTGATTGCACAGGTACCAACGACAAAATCTGTCTGTGTTGTAGTACATTGCTTTGAAACAAATTCGACGCATCGATTTATGTGCGGTCCCTGGGCCAATCTTGTTCAAACTGTCTGTATAACAACAATATTGCATATTTAAGCAGCATACAAGACCAACCAAAACCGTTCACTTACGGGTGTATGGTACCAGAGCGAACCCGGGTTGAATCACTTCACCGACAATACGCAATTGAGCGGTCTCTCGACCTTCCAGTTCAACACTGAGAGGTGACAAAATGGGCCCCCCGGGGGTTATGAGACGAATCTTACCTTAGTAACTCATTAAGCTTCTGTGTAGTTTTTGGTATAAAACCCACCTATTGAGGAAAATGGTTTCTGNGCTCTGAATTCACATACCGTCAATTCTAACGAGGATTTTTCATTTATTGTGCCCGTGTGTGGAACAATCTCTAGCAATGTGTTCAAGCTTGCTCCGATTCGAAACGTCCCCGGTTTGAGGCCCTCGTTTTTCAACCAGACAGTACGATGAATCACTTTATTCTCTTGTACCAGTAGACCAAAATCCACCAAATCTGGGATCACCAATGACGGTCTTGGAGGTGTACTGTAAATTGATCGGAACACACTAGCCGGGAAGTGGACAGAACGAACTTACATCTCGAGGGGAATTTGGCATTTTTCCCCGTTCACTGTGATAACTATGTGATCGTGTACCGTCTCCGCCAGTTCATCGGGTAGTATCAGACTCAAAATCCCCGTGTGCTCCATTCCCTGGGCAATAGGAACCTCACAGAATCTCGTAGTCAAACGGATAAGCTATGCAATTGATCGTTTTCACACCGGGGTCCAAGATGATATGCTCACCTTTGTTTGGGGTGGATAGATGCGAACATTTTTTATATTTTTGGTGATATTTTGCACACAAACAGTAATTTTTTCCGAGTTCGAAATGGACGCGTCCCGAAATAGAATGCGTGCCGGACGTATACGCACTCCGTGCAAATCCACATATGCTACACTCATTTTGCGGTTATTTTTTACCAATAGTTGATTGCGAATCAGCACTAAAAATGATTAAAAATAAATAACTAATGATGTTTAAAATTGTCGGTAAATCGAGAGACCAGGCGTACAAATGAGTAAAAACAAGAAGTATAGAATTACATTATACCACAAGTGATTAGTCCTATTTTGATTGTTTTTGTCGTCGTCGTTATCGATGTTGTTTTATTGTTTTTGTGCAAAGTACTTGTTCAAGACTAGCAGGAGCCTGTACCTGCACTCACCCTCTGTGGTGATCAGCTGGAAGTAGTTGAGGGCTTTAAGTACCTCGGGAGGTTGATCTCAGCTAGTGTTGGTGTTGGGCAAGAGATCACATCACAAATAGAGGCTAAAGCAGCTTTTGCCAACCTGAGACACCTGTGTCATCGCCATGACATCCGACTATCCCTCAAGGGAAGGGTGTACATCGCCGCGGTTCATAGCGTTCTCCTTTACGGTTTCGAGACCTAGCCCCTCCACGTTGAAGATGCTAGTCGACTTTCTGTTTTTGAGCACCGATGTCTCCGAAGCATTGCGGGTGTCTGGTGGGAACACCGGGTGAGTGGTGATGAGGTTCGTCATCGTGTGCTGGAAGCGGATAGTCGTTCTCTAATAGAAGTAATCGCTCTACACCGCCTCCGATGGCTTGGACACGTATTGCGTATGCCTACCCATTGACTACCTCGCCGTGCTCTCTTCATACGTGCCGGGCAAGGCTGGAAGCAGCGGAGCGGCGGTCAGAACATGATATAACGTAAAAGTAGTTCAGTTCAGTTCTTACAACCATTAACCATGCAATTTCGTGCGCCGGTCTTGGTTGCTGTCTTTTGGTTGCCCATTTGGATAAAAAAGCAGAATGATGATCGGAATGTTGAGGGCAAATTCAAGCGGAAGATAGCACATTTTCCAAGACTGAAGTTATAAGAATAATAAGTAGATGCATGAGCGCCACTGTTTGCGACACCTAGCCTCATCGCTGAGTGTCTCTAACCATCGGTGACCATGATCTCGGGGTCCCCAGCCAGGGAGTCTAACGGGACCTATGTGAGCCAGTCTCCTGGTCAGGGTTTTCGTACCCTCATGCCAGGTCTTAGCTTGACCGCCCTTCATTTTTTTTCCAACCGCTACCTGTCTCGGCAAGCATCGCTCGCCGTGGCAACCTATATAGTGACATGCTTAGCACATGTCCCAACCGGCGTAATCTATGGAGGTCGACTACCTGTTCCAGTGTGCGACTGCGATTACCTAAAATTCTACGCCTAACCTCAGCATTGCTCGTCCGGTTTCCCCACCAGACTCGTGCAATGCACGTAGACAGCGGTGTTCGAACACCGACAATCTATTTTTATCCTGTTCCCGTAATGGCCAAGTCTCTGTGCCGTAAAGCAGAACTGGCTGAACTGCTGCAGCATACACTCAACCCTTCACAGACGACCGGATGTCGCGACGGCGCCACAAATGTCTCACGTTGGCAAACGCCAACCGAGCCTTCTGTATGCGCGCCGACACTTCATCTGTGATGATGCGTCGTCAGGTGAGATACAGCTGCCTAGATAGCAAAATTTGTCTACTTCCTCTACTACTTCCCCGGTCAGGGTGAGGCTGGGGACTGGGCTAACCCAATCTTGGAGCAGTATTTTACACTTTGAAGGTGCAAAGCGCTTACTGAACATCGCTACACTAGCACTCAAACTATCCAAGAAAGCTTGCAACTTACCTGACTTTTCACTTAGTAGCACAATGTCGTCTGTATACTCTAGATCAGACAGTTATCCACCTGGGAGTAAATCAATGCCGCTATCCTCGCATGAGGATAGAGCTGTTTCAAAAATTAAATCTATAACAAAATTAAATAACAATGAAGAGAGGGCAACTTTGCGTGGTGAACTCGGGTGAAAAGTGCCGCAAGCTCGGACTCGGCTTCGGCTATCGTTGTTGAGGGATTGTAATATTGAAATAAACTTCTCGGGCACATCCTTCAGGGAGAGGCAGTGCCAGAGTTTAGATCGGTTGACTGAATCAAAAGCCACTTTCAGGTCGATAAAAA